TTTATGAGACTCACATGGAGGACAAAGAAGTCAAATAAAACATTCTCCTTCCATTATGTGTCAGTTATTTTTAATTTAAGCTTACATTCGTAGCAAAGCACATCAATCAACACAATGGCTTCCAAGTTTATTCCTCCATCTATTTTAAACACAGATAAATACAACACTTGGGGAAAAAGAAATGCAAGTTTGGGAACTTGCTGCATGCATTGACAAACATTGCCATGCACCCATAGTATATTTATCCCTGGAAGGAAAAGCCAGAGAGGCCATATTAGAACTGAACATTAATACATTATATGCCAATGATGGAATGGGAAAATTATATGAAAAGTTAGATACACTCTCTTTTTAGAGGACGCTAACCAGTCAGCTTTCATGACATACGAATTGTTTGAATAATATCAGTGACAGAATGATATCGATAGACGACTAACTTATTAACTTCGACCGTCATGTTGCAAAGTTAAAGGACCACAAAATACAATTACCAGATCCAGTACTTGCCTACAGAGCATTAAAAAGGGCAAATCTGACACCTGAGAATGAGTGACTAGTGAAAGCAACCATCGACAAATTGACACTGTCAGCAATGTCCAAACAACTTTAAAAAAATTATGCTCAGACAGTTTTCCAATGCTTCAACAAATACTCCACCAGTTGTGATAAAGATAGATATGGATTGTGCCTACAATGAGATTGAAAACAATCAGGAAGATGCTAGTGAAGTATATTAGTCACTTTTCAAATCTGCGTCCTTCTCAGTTTTCCAGTTGGCGAGATAACAGAGGCAGAAGAGGACATAAAAATGAAATTCCTGTATCTTCTGGCAGGAATTCTGGCTCAATTGAACCCGAAGGAAATACCACTAAATACTTCACGTGTGGTGGTAAATTCCACTGGATCTATGATTGTCCATAAGCTGATAGCACTGGTAATATGCAGGATAGAAGTCAAAAGGACAACTACATATCTGTAGCCAACATCATGCTGATGAGTCAGCAAAAGCAGGAAGATAATGGTCAAACATTTTTGGGTGAAACACTTATTTCAGCATTTCTTGATAGTGGTGCTTCAGCTACTGTTTGTGGAACTGCATAGTATGAGCATTTTCTGGAAATTATTCCTGTGCAACAACAACAAAAAAAAAGTCCGACAAGGACAGAACTTACAAGTTCGGCTACAGAAAGAAACTAAAATCACTATTCACAACTACTCTACCTGGCATTGATGTCACATATTATTACTGATGTTGTGGACTCTGACATTCTACTTTTATTAAGCAAAGATATCATGAAAAGAGCAATGATTAGTCTCAATTTTGAAAATGACAGTGTCACAATGCTTGGGGAAAAAAAAAACGTTCACTGTGGTGTGCCTCATCTGGTCACTATTACATTCCTATTACCAGACCTCCACCAGATCAAGGTAAGTTTATTAATCAAATTACTAGCAAAAACAGATCAGAAAAAATTAGAATTGCAACAAAATTACATAGACAATTCAGCCATCCAAGTAGTAAAAAGTTGTGTGATATAGTTATGAATACAGGAATAAAAGACCCGGAATTCATAAAAAATTTTACAAGAACTTCCTCCTTCATGTGAAATACGCATTTGCCACAAAAAAAGTTGGACCCAGGCCTATTGTTGGGTTTTAATTAGTTTCATATTTTAATGAAAGCATTGCCATGGACATAAATTAATGGAAAAAAAAATGTTACATCTAATTGATCATAGTATTAGATACAGTGTTGGAGTCAGGATTCCTAGTAAGGAAAGTTCTGACATTCTTAGTGCTATATTCACACACTAGATAGCATATTTTGGCACTCCAGGATCTGTCCTCATGGACAATGGCAGAGAGTTCAATAACCGATCATTTAGGCACATGGCACGGAACTTGAATATTGTAGTATGCACTACTGCTGTTGAAAGTCCATGGAGCAATGGTTTGAATGAACAACACAATGGGATACTGTGAGAAATGGTGAAGAAAACCATTAAAGACAAAAGTTCTAATTTTGATGTAGCACTTGCATGGGCCATAAGTGCCAAAAATACACTTCACAATATGTTATAGTCCTAACCAACTTGTTTTTGGCAGGAATCCCAACTTGCCATCTTTTTTAAATGACAAACTCCCTGCATCAGAAGGTATTTCTACTATTGAAGTTGTTGCAAACAACCTCAACACAATGCATACTGCCAGGAAATATTTCATAGCATGTGAGTCTTCAGAAAACTAACACACAAATTTTGTCATCAATTTCAAACAAATATAGTGCAGTCATACAAAAATGGTGATACTGTTCTCTATAAAAGTGTATGTGATAAATGGCTTGGTTCAGGAACTGTCATAGGGTGGGAGCATAAGCAGGTACTTAATGAATGTAGTTATGGAACAAAGCAAACCCTTTTGGCTGGACTTTGAACATGGAGTATCTGAATGGCAAGTAAGTGAGGTCAAGCAAACGAGAGAAGACAACAGCACTTCTTATGATATTCATTTCCTCCTCAAATGATGATCTGGAAAAGGCAAAAGTGGAGCTCCAAAGTTGGGTTGAAAATAAAGCCTACATACAAATTCCTGACTAAGGTCAACCCAAGATATCTACAAGATGGGTTTATACTTATAAAAGTTCTAATGGTAAACATGTTTGTAAAGCTAGACTTGTAGCTCAAGGCTTCCAGGGCAAAGATGCTTGATTCTCCCACCTGCTCTAAAGATCTATGCATAGCATTGGAAATAATGGCATCTAATCACTGGATGTGTAAATCCATGGACATAAAAACCACATTTCTACAGAGTAAATAGACCGATTTGTTTATTTGGAAGCTTTCTAAATATGTATATGGTCTGACTGATGCTTCAAGATCCTGGAACCTAAGGATGAATTAATTAAATTAGAAGTGAGAATTTCAAAATATGACCAAGCAATATTTACATGACAATTTGGAAACAAACTGCAAGGTATAATTGCTGCCCATGTTGATGATTTCTGATGTACAGAACAGAAATCTTTCAGACTAGTTATAAACAAAATTCGTCATTTATTTGAAGTCAAATCTGAAGAAGTTGCCGAATTCTAATATATAAGATTAAACATAAAGAAAAATGGAGACAATATCAAACTAGGATAGAATGAATATGTAAAAAAAAAATTAAAATATATCTCAGTAGAAGTAGGTAGAAATTTGAAAGACACTATTGAAGAGTAAGCGTTCTCAAAGCAAATTTGTGGCTTTCACAACACAAAGAAAGAAAATCACTTGTAACGCGTCAGGAAAATAACTCAGTATTTTGAATTAGTAGCCAAAACTGCCTGAATTTTCCTTCCCGAGTTGAAAAACACCAACTGCTTTTTATCGGCAGAACCTATTTTTCCATTCATCGACAGCTGGGATAGGATGCTCCGTAATTTGCATATTAATATACTCTTATAGCGACTCCTGCGACGGACTTGTTTCTTTTTTCGTCACAGAATACACGCTGACGTGCTGTTGCTTGGGTTGACGAGGTAAGTCGCTATAAGAGTTTTGCTGACTAATTTTTTGGCAATCCCTCCCCGGCAGATCGCACACAAAACACAAACTTTTTTCCGGGGTACTTGATTATCTCGTTCACTACAACTATATCCACAACAAAAGTAACAGAGATATGGCAGCTAATTGGTCAACTTAATTGGCTAACCACCCAGACCAGGCCTGATCTAAGTTATGATGTTAGTGCCTTAAGTTCTCTATTAAAACAAAAAAATGTAGAATGTATAAAACAGAGTAGTCAAGAAAGCAAAAGAGGAAAAATTCTAGATTTAAGAAACCTAGAACACTTAAAAATTATTGCCTATAGTGATGCCTCTTTTGCCAATTTGACTGATGGTGGATCACAAGAAGGGTATATACTCTTTTTGGTTGGAAGTACCAATAAATATATGCCCATTGTTTAGCAATCAAAATGTATTAGGAGAGTCGTCAAAAGCCACCGAAACCCTAGCCATGGTTGATGCAGCAAAAGTATGTCTTTTTTATAAGAAATTTTTATTAGGACTATTGCAACTTGAAGATAATAATAAAAATATATAAATTATATGTAAAACTGACTTTGCATAGAAATGGCTATTTTGAGAGAAATGATAGAAAAGAAATTGTCAAAATCTTTTGGATACCAACTAATACACAAACTGCTGACTCACTGACAAAGTAAGATTCTTTGGTTCATACCAGAGCCTAAGGAATCCTCTGTTTAATGAATTAACATTCTCTTATATATATATATATATATATATATATATACACACACACACACACAGTTGATGCTAAAAGAAAAAGGGGGAAGAACTATTAATCTTCACAAGTTGTCCCCCTTGGTGACTCTTCAACCAAAATGGAAGATGACAGTCAAATAGAACATTCTCCTTCCATTACGTGCATGAGTTCCTTTAATTTAAGTTTGCAAACTTTTCTCCATATTACTGTTGCCTTGCATATATTGTTTGTTTGCTTGCTTAATATTATGTTGTTTTCTTTCTCTTGTTATTGTTTATTGCAAACTTTGTTAATTCTGTTTGTTGGGCATTTCTGCCAATTACATTTAACCATGGCCAATCACTCTACACTTATATTCTTTTAGTGTTTTAATAATTTTTACTGCTTCTCTGATAAGTTCTTTGTTTTGTTTTTTGTTGTTGTTGTTGTTGTTGTTTTTTTTTTTTTGGTTTTTTTTTTTTACAAATAATTATTTAATACCATCTTAACTGTCTGGAGAAATAAAGAAAAAAGAGCTGCTTGTATATATTTGTACAAGTTCATTATTTTGGTGTTTGGTCAGTTCTGAAATATAATTTATAATGTCTCATCTACATAATTGATGACAAAATGTTTTGTAGTACAGGAACCTAAAAGTTTCAACCAAATTCTTGACGCACACTAAAGGTAACTTCACAAGAGAAATTCATCAACTATAATACATTCTCCATTTTGTTCTTCAGTTTTAGAAGAATGTTTGGAACTACCTTTCTTTTTGGTTTTATAAACAACTTCAAAATTGTTCCTAATGTTTGTTTTTTTTTTCTTTTTTTTTTTTCTTTTCACTATTGCAGGTTTGCAATTATCAGGGACCAGCAATCGTGATTGTATCTTGTGTAACCAAGGATGAAAAACCAAAACCTCATCCTCACTCTTTGGTTGGAAAAGATTGTAAAAAAGGAGTCTGTACTTTGAAGGTCTTAAATACTGATTCAATATCGTAAGTCAGTCTAATGATCACTTTGTACTTTGTTAGGCTACTTTATCATACTCTAGGAAGGCATACATTCTCATATAGTATATAAAGGTGACAAAGGAATATTATTGTCTTGCAATAAACATGCCATTCATTAACTCTGTAATAATTTTTATTTTTTTATGGAATGATACCTTAATGTACTATAAGAATAACTTTGATTTCCTCCTGTTTAAAGTAGAAAATTTTAATTTGCTCCTGACATTGAATACTTACACATTCATCTGCTTAACTGTAAAATATAGCCAACTTTAGGGGCTTAAATAATGAAAACTGGCTAAAAATGAGTTTTTAGCCAGTAAAAGCCATTATTTTATTATGCTAATGTTATTGAAATATGTAGTCATAAATACAGAAAGAATTAAAATTAAACTTTGCTTTTATCAACTGATTAGCTAAGAGATAATTTTAAAAAATAGAATATGTAGTTTTTCAGGGAACAGAATCACTAGTGTTTTGAGAAATTTTATGGTTACTATTGCATGCTTATGTTATACATGTAGAACATAAATGTAACATAAACCCATTCTCTGCTCCTTCCTGTGATGGGCATCTCACTCTGCTGGTTGATCTTCCCTACATTGTATTTAAATTTTTGATCTGAGCAGGTTTTAGGCAAAGCTGGTTGAAGGGGACAAGTTACATGAAAAGTAAAGGGAGTGACTTTCAAAACAGATAATTGACTCTCATTTGTAGAAACAACAGAATTTATTTAAGAGCTACAATTACCAACTTCCCAAATTATGTTGCACTGCTGTCTACCTACCTTTTGAGTTTCAAATAGGCCAGGATGAATTTTTTTTTTTTTTTTTTTTTTTTCCAAGGAATATCCACCCAGGATATTCTTATTCCTTCCACCCTTTTTATTAAATATTCAAGAAATTTCCTCCCATTCCTTAATTTAGGCTGCAACCATTCTAGGATAAAACATTTTATTTGAACATTTGATAAAAGTGGTGGTTAGAATAATGATGCCCAAGCAGACTTTTCTCCATAAAAGAATAATTGTCCTGGTTTGTCTACTCAAAGGTATGCCCAATTAGTTAATTAGCAGGTTTCAGCATTATTCACAACATATCACAAAAAAACTACCCATTACCCTGATTTGGAGACTCATTCAACAATTTGAGAATTTTGGTCTTGGGTATGCAAAACTGTTTTTCAAAAGCTGCTCTCTAAATTTCCACTTGATCATCATTTTGCAAATGAAACCTTTTAGGCTGAAAAAGAATTCCTTTCATTCACTAGACCAACTCTTCCCAAAGAGTATCTTGCAAGGGATGGTGGAGTAGGTGGCAAAGAGGAGTGGTGATACCAATTTGCAGTGTTTTCCATGACAACCAAATAACAACTGCTGCTCTCCCAACTACTCAACGACATGACTGCTCAACAGCATCAAATCCCTACTACCCAAAGGGCTGAGCTGGAGTGTGTTTCATTTATTGTCAAAAAAACCATAGTCATTTTCTGTTATATAGGAATAAAGTGTCGCTGCTGACACTTGAGTTTGAACATATATTGCTAGTGAGCAAGCACAGGCAGTCCCATTATTGAATTAAGTAGACCACATGACCATAGAGGAAACGCATATAAGAAGTTGCATGACGTCTAAATGAATGCTATTTCTATTCTATCCTCTATTACTATTCAGATTGCTATATTCTACTCTATCCTCTATTACTATACAGACCGTTATTCTCTACTCTATTCACTATACTATTTCTCTATTCGGATCACTATACAGATTACTGTTCAAGCTAGTATTATTGAGCAAGTACTATTAGTGTGAGTGATATTTGAAGGTGTCTGACACCAATATTGTTCAACAGCGTACTAGAGTGGTATCTGCGATTGCAAAGTCACTACTACAACGAGCATTACGAAAGTGACAACAAGTATTGGCATCACAAAAGTGGCAACTAGGATTCCTTGAACTCACATGAGGATTTGTTCAGCAGAGTACAGCAAAATGGAAGAACTAAAAGCTATCACAGTTCAAATCTTGGCACTACAGAAGCAACAAGAACAACATTTGCAGCAACAAAAATGACAACATGAACAGCAATTACAACTACAACAACAAAAGTTTTATTTTTAGTTGTTTACCAAAACCATGGAAGAAAAAAACTTCAGATTCATTCACTCCAGATACTGTTGCTAATTTGAATTTGTATATAATCAAGACGATGGGATAACTTTTCCAGCTTATTATAGAATATACAAAAGAGATTGTTTGCATTGGATAATGAAAAGAAAGTTTGTTTAATTATTAAGGAAATTTTCCCCTATCGAACATTAAAAATATGTGAATTATATTTTGCCCAAAAAAAAAACAAGAGAGATAAATTTTGATGAAACTGTTCTAGTACTATTAAAAATCTTTGGTGATTGCCATTCTGTATTAAATAATGAGCTATGTCTTCACTATACAGATTACTAAACCAAGCGAGTATTATTGGGCAAGTACTATTAGTGCATATGATATTCAAAGGCGTCTGACACCAGTATTGTTTGATGGCATACTATAGTGGTATCTGTGATTACAAAGTCTCTACTACAATGAGCATTACAAAAGTGACAAGTGTTCATTGACATTACAAGTGGCAACTATTGTTTGTTGACATCACAAAACTTTCCAAATTTGATTTGTTCCAAACTCTACTTTTAGGTTTTCATGTGCCTATTGGTTAGAAGACTTCTGGTTGCATCAAGTAAAGTTATTTAATTTTCCATCTGCTTATATATTTTCAAATATCTGCCTATTTCTCTATTTTCCAAAGAATTCTTCCTGCAGATGAGAAAACTTAATGATTGATAAGAGCAATCCATAATTTTTGTCACAAAGAAATCTTCATTCAGCTTTTATCTATCTAGTCTTACCTAGAATTCATCTCCTGGTCATTTCCTTTCTCCAAAAGCCCACTTAGAAATTCTCAGAATAATTCTGTTTTCTTTAGACTGACTTTTTTTTTCTTAATTTCTTTTATCTCAGATGTCATCCAAGCATTTGGCTTCTTTCTTGTCAACATCTTGTGAAACATGAATTAATGTTCAAATCTCACTTTCTCCAGATTTTATTATTACAAAATGACAAATCCTATTTTAAGTAGGAAAAAAATAACTCCTGAGTAGTTATATTGTGCTTACTAAAATCTGTATTACCTAACTTGGTTATCTAGACTTTTCATATCAAGTAATCATCAGGTATATATTCACAAACTTGTAAAAGCCTGCACTGGTAACTTTATTAATTGGCAAAAGGAAGGAGTGCTTCTGAGTAACCTATTTGAATTTACCTGTATAATTAGGTGTCAGTGTAGTGTTAGTGTAGAAAACATAACTAGATTGTCAATTGGAAATGAATTTCATTAAGTCTTGCTCATTTACACAAAAATTATCATAAAATGTTATTTTTGTTTTTTCTTTTTTTGCATACTTTAATAAACTTTAAAATAAAAACTGCTAACTGCACTTTTATTAATGAATATCCTTTTTATTTTTATTAGATTTGCAAATCTTGGAATTCAGTGTGTAAAAAAAAGAGAAGTTGCTGAGGCTTTAAATGCTCGAAAAAGCATCAATGTTGATCCTTATCAGAGTATGTATGCTAACTTTCTCTTTCTAGAGAACAGATTACCTTATTCAGATAGTTTCAAGCAAGTCAAAATTAAATCTAATATGGAAATAAAAATATCAACAATGCAAGCTAGAATAATTGAAGTAAATGTTAAAACAATTCTGCTATTTAACCATGATAAACTAATGTTTCAGAAATATTGAATTGAATTTTAAGTAGTGATTAAAAAAAAAATTACTTCATCTCTTAATTTGACTATATAACTTATAAAATTTGCTAACTCATGTAAATATTGATGACCTAGATATAACTAATGATTGATTCATTCTGATTTCAAATTTGAATTCTTTCCTTTGTTGAGTGGGAATATGTATGGTGTGGGGAGTAAAACTGCATAGTTTTTGTAATAATAGAATGGAATATAGCTGTAAATATATAAAGATTTATAGTTTAAAATGTATAAAGATTTTATATGCAAATCTACTTTTAGCAAATTTTTTTGTTTTGTGGAATTAATGATTAACATTTTCACTGCTGCATTTTTGCTTGTCTGTGCATGTCCATTTTGGTAAAAATAAGAAATTACCATTTACTGGAAATAAATGATTACGAAAATGCTGATGGCAATTTCTCATAAACATTACTATTTGGGTTTTGATCAATTGCTCTGCAATACAGACCAAGCTAAATGATAACCCCAACTAACAATATGATAAAAAATAGATCACAAAACATGTATTGTATGCTGCTATATCTGTGTTAGTTTGGAAATGCCAATTAGTTTATAATAAAAACACTAGGGTTCTTCATTTCATTGTGTCTTGAAAATTATGTATATGTAGATATATGAATAAAAATAAAAGGAAATTTAAATCCAGGCTTTTACAACATATCAGCATTCATAGTTAAAAAAAAAAAAACAATGATGGAAAGCAAAAGAATATAGATTAGATTGGCTAGATTGAAAAATGTTGATGCAACTGCATACAAATGAAAGATGTTAGGAATTCTAATTTATTTTTGTTTTTTTGAATATGTGTTTTGGGTATATAATCTAGCCAATTTCATGTAGATTCTTTTTCTTTTCATAGCTTTTGTTATTGGATATCCCACACTGTGATAACAGATGATCTACCAGGAATGGTGAAAGGTTATGGACATAAATTTACTGTGGATGATTTAGCTATCAGAGCACTCTTTAAACATTTTCATCTTAATGAATTGTTTTCTATTTTGATCACTAGCATTTATCATATCAAAACTGTGGTCAGTCTCATTAGGGTAAGCAACTAATGCATTTAGTATGTTATGTAAAATGTCTCTTCTGTATTCATATAATCTTGTATTTAAATTCCTTGAGATTTCTCCTATGTAATTTTTGTGACAATTATTACAGGTGATAGAGTAAATTCCTCCAAGTTTTAGCTTAAATTGTTTTGTTTTGTACTGATTAATTCTTTTATGGTTTTAGATGTAGTTGCAAATTTTATGTTGAGTTTAGATAAATTCTTTTCAATTGTAGTTGTGAGAATTGATAGAATAATGTTTTGATTAATTGGGTTTATCAGTAGAGGCTGTTTTTGTATTTTAGAATATTTTACAAGCCATTTGTTTCCCTTTTTAATATAAGATAGGGTATTGAAAGTGTTTTCAATATATTTCTCCTCTTCATGTAAATATTGAGGTCTGTGCTTTTAAGTAGAATTTGATGATTATTCTGGATTTTATTTTGTTGTTATGATGGGAATAGAAATTTATTAGATCATTTTTATTGGTGGATTTCTCATGGACACTAAGATTTAAGCTACTGTTAATGCAGTGTAGAAAGGTAGTGTTGCATTCTTCCAATTCATATGTAAGTTCTATTGTATGTTCAACTTTGTTTAATTTATCTATAAGGTCAGGTAAATCAATATCATTAGAATATATTAACAGATCATCAATATATCAAAAGGGCATTGATTGTTTGGGTAAAATACTTTGAAAAGGACCAGACTCAAGAAATTCTAAAAAAAAAATACATGCCATCACTCCATTAAGGCAATCCCATTGGTAATGCAAATTTTTGTTTATAAAAATTATCAAATGTGAAATAGCATTAATTGGTGATGAGAAAACATATTTTTATTATTTTAGCTATTGGTAGGAAGAGGTTTATCTTTGTGTTAGACGCTTTTTTAAGAGATTTAAGCATTTTTCAACCAGGATGTTGGTGTTATGAGATTTTATATCTAGAATGGCTGAGTTTGTCAGTCATATTTATTTCCCTTAATTTTTCAACTAGGCTGCCTGAGTTTTTTTTTATATTAGATGGGGTGATTGTTCCAAGTAGAGGAGTTAACAATTTTTGTTATGGCTTTCACCAGTTTATAGGAGGCACTGAGATGATAGGGCACATTGGGATACCTGTTTTATGGGTTTTGGGGAGACCGTAAAGTTTGGGTATTTTAGGGTGATATTCTATTAGTCTATAGCATGATTTGCTTTCATTTTTAAGTAGTTTCGTAATCTCTTTGTTAATTTTTTGCATTTCAGTAATTATTTTCTGTTTGTTTTTTCATGTGTCAATATTGTTGAGTAGTGAATAAATTTTTTCTTTGTAATTATTCTTGTTCATGCTCACAGTCCCACATCAAAGGAGGTAATGTGAATTTCTTTATTCTTTGCTAGGTTCCTTAGTGCATTTAGTTGTCTCTGTGGTATCTAAATGAAATTGGCTAGATTATATACCCAAAAGACACACGCACACAAAACGAAAAATGATTTAAAATTAAAATTCCTACCATCTCTCATTCATGTTCATGTGCAGTCGCACCAACATAATGTCCAATGAAGTCCTAAAGGACGATACACATAAGACAAAAACGTTTTTCCACATGGTTCATCCTTCCCTCAAAATTGTCCTTAATATATAAAAAAAAATTATATATTATCCCATATATATATCTCCAGACAGTGTACATTTTGTAAAGGCATAAGTACATCCACAGCAGCAGAAGTGTACCTCCACAAGAACGCTAAAAAAAGAGCATAGCATGATGAAAAAGATTCCAAACAAAATTTTATCATCTAAATGTTTGTTATTAAGAGGAAAGATCAAAGTATTTTGGGGGTATTTTTTTACATTTTTTAATCGTTACAAGCACATCTGAAATTTTCATTAAAAATCTTTTTTTTTTCTTTTTTTTTTTTGAGTCAGCAAAATTGACCATTTTTTTTTTACATTTATATAAAAAAAACTGGAAATCTCACTTTGAAATTCTTTTAAATATCAATTATCATTTTTTCAAAACTTATTTTAAGAAAATCAGAAAATATAATGTTTATTTAAAATATTTTGAACAAAGCTTAACTTAGCTTCTGCGCCAAAAAGACGTAATTTGAAAATAAAACAAAGCAGGTCATAAACTTTTGTGTCGCTTGACAGGTGATGAATGACATATTGACAGATTCCGTGAGGCTAATTTTTCTACGGAAGGAGAAAAGTGAAATAATTTACATTTCAGTGAACAAATTATTTACCTCGTTATTTTTAAGGAAAACTTTCATCGCTCTTTTTTTTCTTTTCTTTTTTTTTTGTACTTAGCTTTCACCTTTACGTTTACGATGCTTTATGGAAAATATATTATAAAGAAATTGAAATAGGACTGTTAAGAGTGAGATTAAATTTCATAAGAAAGGTACCTATAAATTACTTAGATACCTTTCTTATGAACTCAGAAGTGTACATAAAATACTATAATTTTATGTACATTTATTACATTTGACTGTGTTATTTGTATTTCCATTCATTTTATTATTAATTTTGATATTTCATTTATGGAAAAATGCCATAACTGAGATTAATATAAAAATAAGATCATATAAATTTCATAAGATGATACTTATAGGTACCCTTCTCAGTTGAAATTGAAAAATCAAATTAACTTCTCCACACGTTTCGCAAAAATAAATCTATATCTCAAAAGGACATTTACGAAACTGAATGCGGCTTTTAACTAATTTTATAATATTTTAACAACTTAAATGTAAAAATTTATTATAATTAAAGAAATAACAAATAATTGTATTAAAAATTCAGTATTTAAGTTAAATACTAGACAGAAATTCAATCCATGTGATGTTTTTTTCATTGCACGCATGATACTTCCAGTCTTCCGTAGATTTGATTTACAGTGTTATTATTGGCACAAATTATATTTTTTTTATATACTGTTGTTTGTTAGTTTGTAAAAAGTTTTGGAAATTATAATCTGTAAATATATATCTACTTAACAACATTCGTTAAATTTTACAAATTTTTCCTTAATTTTAGAAGAATTAACAACATTTAATGTAAAAAATAATAAAATATTTCAGAAATAACATATAATTGTTTTAAAAATTCATTTTTCATTGAAATATCTTTTTGCTTTCAGACAATATTGTCCATGTTCTTAAATAAAAGCAATTAAAAGCTTTTGAAATTAAATAATATTTTTGTTTTATTGAGTTTTGTATGATTTTCAGGTAGAGGTGGTCCAACAAAAAAAAAACATGATTTGGTTTCCTCAAAGCCTTGTGCTTTTAACTAATATAATCACTAATCTTCCCAAAATTGAAATTATAGAGTTTTCGTACAATTAGTTAGGAGGGGGGTAATACATAAGAAAAATTCTGCCATGACTTTAATAAAAAAAAAAAAAAAAACATATTTATAAGTTCCATCATTTGTGAATAGTTTCTGAAAGTTTCATTAAAATTCAACAATTATTTTTATTTTTGCAAGATTTTCCAAATTAATGTGTGTCCTACAGGAAAAAAAAAAAAAAAAACGTGTTAAAATTTTATGTTATTTTACTAGTTCCGGTGATACAAAGAGAAACGAGGTTTTTTTAATCAAAATTTAGAATGTTCTAAAAAGAAGGAAAAATTTTTAAAAAAATAATTAAAATAAACTTTGATCTTTCCTCTCAATAATAATATAAGCATTTAGTCACTAAAATTTTGTTTTTGTCAAGTTTGGTGTCTTTTTCATCCTGCTATGCTCTGTTTTTAGTGATCTCATGAAGGTACCTATGTTAAAAACTTTAAAATGTTCCAGTTTTATGCAATTCTCTTTTACTAATGTTTATTGTTTGTCAGTTAAATTGTACCCTGTCTTTGAAAGATTAGAATGAACTTCATTCTAAAATGTATAAAGAAAATGTTATCTCTGAATATTTATTTTTGTCCTGCTTCTCACTATATTCCCACTTCTCTCCATCATAAACTTTTCCAATTATATTATGCAAACTTTCATTCTAGAAAATAAATTAAAAATGCAAATACTTTATGTATCAAAAACTTTTTTATTTCTCAGCTGGATTCAGCCATGCAAAAGACATGAATATAGATTTCAGTACTGTTCGCTTGTGCTTTCAAGTCTTTATTGCTGATAAAGATGGAAACCTCAAAAGGCCTCTCCCACCTGTCTCCTCACAAAATATTATTGATAAGAGTGAGTACAAATTTGGTTAATACGTGATTATTACCATAAGAAAATATTCATTTTAAAACTTCAGACAACATAAAAAATGTAAACATGAAAACATTTTAAGCTTAAAATAGTTTGAAAATATGATTTTAATTTTTGTTGAAGTACTCTTGATAACATAGCCACTTGATATCTTAAATTTGCAAATAAATGAATCTTTTTATGTTATTATTAAACAAATATATCAAATTTTTCATTCACCTAAATTAACTCAGCCATGCTATATATCACTATCATACACAAGATACAAAGTGCATTACAGGTGATATGATATATAATGCAATTTCTGAGGAAACTTTATCAGCTGCAATCTGTTTTAGTCTAGGAAATTAAGCAAAATGAACAAACTGTTGTATAAATTAAAATAACTTTAATACTGGTTAAACTCCTAAAGCTATCACTTGAGATTTTCAGAACTCACTGTCAAAGTAAAGTTTTTACCTGCCATAAGACTAAATTGAAGGTATCCTCACAGAATATGTAAGCAGAAACTAGTTTGTTTTTCTCCTTCGAGTCTTGTTCTTAAATAGAAACTTAATTTCACCAAATTGGTGATGAAGCTTTGTTGCTTACTTTCCAGTTGGTCAGAACAAATCAATTGTAATCGTAGTTGAGTGATGGTGACTTTTCACCTACTGAGGTCCTCAAAGAGGTTTGAGAGTGTCAGGGAAAGGGAATGATGTGAACTTAATAACGCATATTAAACCATTCACACTTAAGTAAATGCCCAACCTCACCTCTGTCACCACCTAAGAGGTTTGATATAACAGATAGAATCTGGGTAACTTTAATTTTTGTAGTGTTTAAACCCTATACAAACATCATTTTTAGTTGTCAACAAATAGGCATCTGATTTTCATCTAATCAAAGCCAGGAAAATTGAGTAATTTTGCTTAACACATCACCTTACTGATGCCCATAAAAACATTGTTTGACTGGAATCACGCTGGAAGACATTTTGACTGGAGATAAGTGTTTAATGGCCATAACACAACATGGGATAATTTAGCCTTAATATCCAGATTAAATCCAATGGTAGAAAGAACATCATCACTTCTAATGACACAGGAACTGTTCAGTGAGCAAGATTTGGGCTGAGTGAAACATAACTGTTTCCAATGACCAGGAAAACAATTTTCAACTCATTATAGCCTCATAGTTGGTGTCAGGTCCACGATGATAACTTTTCTTTATGATAACTAAATTATTTAGGAAATCTGTAAGTAGTTTTCTCAGCACATTGTAGCAAATTGACTTTATTTGAAACTAGTATATTTATGTAAGCTCAAACTAAATATTTCTGTGAAATATTAACACAATGTTGTTTTTGGATCAGATAAGAAAGGATTACTGAAAATTACTTATTCACCAAATTTCATTTTTAATTGTAAGTGTTTTTAGCATTATTTGGTGGGTACCCTGCTTGATTTAGCAGATTTTTAAAAAAAAAATCCTGCTCCTTATTACCTCTTTACTTGGTCCACATTACTCCAATTACTTCAGGAAACTTAAATTTAAATGCAACTTAGAGTATACTCCATATAAGTGGAACTTTCAGAAGAAATGAAAAGTTGTACCACCTACTAAATGTCCCAGTTAAAAGGGAATTGCAGGACCAAATGAGGAAAAGACCCATTTATTGAAAAAGCACCCTTACATTTAATATAGCTACATGGTTTTAATATCTATGGCTAACGTAGAAAATAAATGTATAGTGAGACCAAATAGGTTTATTTACATCTTTTATCATTTTTTTTCTTTTTAAGTTTAAAAAAAAACAAAACTTTCAGGCTGGTTAAATGTTAAATTTTGAGAACAGGGGATTAAACATCCCCATCTATTCTGGGGAATTAATGATACCTAAATAGTCAAGTGTATAAAAAGATCAGAAATATTTTACCTAACAGATTGAGGCCACATTCTTTTCTACGGTGAAAGTGAAAAACTTCCATTACAGAAAAAAAATGACACCAAATTAAAACTATTCAAGACTTTGCTCTTTATTTTATGCTATTGCATGCAACACTTCCCATGCAGTGTGCAAAGATTAGTTGTTTTTGTTTAGCAGTATATCAACCTCTATGAGTTATTTAATGCTAAAATCTAAATATTTTTGTATGCAATTTTATTTTATTTTTGTAGATAATAATGGTTTAGTGATAAAAATCTAATTAACTCATAGCTGGGGGGGGGGAGAAGAGTATTTGCACTTAAGTGAATATAACAAACTCAACTGGAATTGGAACTTGGCTCTCCAATTAACAATTCCATGCCATTATCCATATCACCACCTGCTATTTCCAAGCTGTCATTCTTTAAGGTATTGACCAGGCTTGATATTACTTAACTTTGGTGATCATACAGGAACCAGTGTTTCAATGTGATCTGTCTATAAGGCAGTGTGTAAAAGGAGAGAGAAAATAATTCATCAATACAATGTATGCAGACCAAGAAAGAATGGCTCATCTCAAAGTAGCCGTGGAGCAAAGGAGATATTAAACATTAACATGATATAAATCCAGGTTATTAAAAAGAGAACAAGTAACATGACGATATGAACTGCAGTATTGATGAAATATAAATTGTATAGCAGGTGCTCTCACAGCTGACTACCTTCACAATTCCAACTGATTACCTTTACCAACTGTAGTGACATCTCTGATATGTCATGTTAGATACCTGGTTTTATAGGGTGTTCCAAGCTTTTTATTCCAAGCAATGGGGATGCTCTTTATATACTACTCCAAATCCCTCTTTAAACTATGCAAATACTGTCTTAAGAATTCCATTACAGAATTTAAGCAAGTGTTTGAAGAAAAATGCCTTAATTCATTATTTTAAATTATATTATTTTTAATATTTTTTACTAGTTTTTCTTGAGTTTACTCTTGCATTTTTATTTCAACTTTATAGATCATCACTTCCAACTATTAAAGTAAGTACTGTAAAATCAGAATGAAGAAGTTACTATAAAAATTTAAAAATGGTGTTAAAAATAGTATTAAATTGATATAAACTCTCTGAATATTAATTACATTAATGTTTAGAGAGTATTTAGCCTTAAATGCTATAGTAAAATGCAAGAATAAAATGAAGAACTAGTTTTTAAAAAAAAGTGAACATTCATTATCCTAGAATTCTGTTAATTATGTACACTTGGTATGCTTTTAGTCAACTTAAATCTCCTCCTTATTCTCATTGTAAATCATCATCATCAGAGAAACCTGGCTTTCTACAGAAGTATGTATATACATTTGCTCCTAATCTCCTCAGGTTGATAGTTCAACATGATCTTTCTACTATCATTGTCAATTTTGCTTGTTCTCAAGTTAAGATTCTTCATTCTACAATAAACCTTCCCAGGCAAATTTGATATATCATTACACAGAACCAGTGGAGTTGATTATCTATCAGCCTTCATCAGTCAGTCAGTTATATGCCATACGTGATACACGCTTAGGCAATCATGTATCTTTTGATACATGACTGACAAGGCAGAATCTTTTCCCGCAGTAGGTTGCCATTTATTTCTGTGGTAGACTAGTTTCCATCCAAGGCTATAGAACCCAGTCTGTCCTGCTATTTACCAATAGCTTGGGTGAGAAGAAGAGGATTCATACCTTTCCCAATGGTATTAGCATGTAAGTGAATGTAATGGATTCAACTGGAATTAGAACTCGGCTCTCCAATTCCTCAATCTGAGCCGCTATCCATTACTCCAACATACCTCCTTCATATTCACTTCAAAACAAATCTTCATCTAACTCCACCAAAACACCAGGCTCACAACAAAAGAGCTACCTATGAACTACAATCACAAAATTAAGAATGCAAGTGAATTCCAATTTACTAGAAAATATAGTATTGGTTGTCTTTCTGACCAATTAAAACTAGAAATTATGTACTGCTGCTTTAGATGACATCCCATTTAGTTGATTTTTTGTCCATTTATTTATTGGAAGCTTTGTTTTCCTATAACAGCATATTGCATTTCTGGTTGTACAGTTTTCTTCATACACATTTCCTTTCAGGGATTTTAAGTGTCATTGGTTTTCTTATGACAAGAAGAGGAATGATAACCCTCCCTTGACTTTTTAAGCTTCCAAAGAATATTCTAGCAGTTACAATCCTTTTTTAAGATCATTAAGTTTATTCTTGAAAATGATTTTAAAAAAATAACAGTATAAGAAGGAGCAGATTAACAATTCCAAAAATATTATCAATCAGAAATTGTAGTCTTGTAAATCTCATACAGTTCCCCTAAAACCATGAATAGATTAACCAACTGTCAATTGCAAAATACCATGTTACAGAATATATTTTTAAAAATGCAACTATCAGAAAAAGGTAAATAACAATAAAAGCCAGACTAAAGGAAAACATACATTTTATGATTAATAAAGCAAGTAGAGTTTGATATTTAGTTTGATATATACGGTTCATATATGCTCAAAGGAAGACATTTTATATAAAGTTCATCTGTATAGAAATAAGGATCAAGATAATTGTAACTTCAGGCAAGTTAAAATTTTATGTGCTAAATTTATGTTCTCAGCAGAAAATCTTTTTACTATTCCTAGGTATGTGAACCTTCAAAATGTTGTTTTGTTTTGTAGAAGCACAGACAGATCTATCTATATGCAGGATGGACAAGAGTTCAGGGAAATCCACAGGTCATGATGAAGTTTTCTTACTTTGTGAAAAAGTTTCAAAAGGTGTGTATGATTCTTAATTTGTTAATTTTATTTGAGATATTTCTACTAATATATTCTAATATCATTTTCTATCTTCTCTCTCTCTATTTTCTCTTTATATGAGTTTAATTATTTTTATCCATTGTTTTGGTTTGTACATTGTTTAGTTCAAGTACTTTTATGTAAAAAGAAAAAATGAGTATTTTCTGATTAATACAAATGACCATATAAATTGAGTAATTGTCAGAAAATATGTAAAAAAAAAAAAAAAAATCAACCTCACATTAATGATCATTTGCAAGAATATTTTAAATAATTGCTTTCATCCTATATTACATTTCTTTTTGATTTAAATATCAATGCCATGCTGAAGATTCCTTTTTCTTTCTAATAGATGATATTAAAGTACGTTTTTTTGAGAATGATAAAGAAGGCAACTGTCTCTGGGAAGACTTTGGAAGCTTTGGACATACTGATGTACATCGGCAGGTTAGTTTAAAAAAAAATCTTGATGGATTGTCATTGCTATAATAGCCTATAGAAAAATTTTATTGAAGAAAAACTGACAATATAAATTTTCATGGTTTTTGAATTGAATTTTATCAAGTTTGGAAGTAAATACTACAGACTTGCTCATTTTAATCTGTAGTCTCCTTTTTCTTTAAGTAAATGTATTTTAAATTTTTTTTCCTTTTGCAAAAATACCATGAAGATTCTTGATTTTTCTAACCAGCTTTTGCATTGAATGAATTTTGTTTACAATACTGTTCATCATTCATTGTTTATCATTAGCTGTTGAAAAGGGAATATTAATAATGTGTTAATTTATACCCAGTGAATTTTGAAGATTTTGTCTTCATTTGACATGTAATTTCCTCTTAATACAAATTTGACATCTCACTTATATATTGTTTTCAGTGTGCAATTGTATTCCAAACTCCTGCTTACAAAGACCCATTCATTACAAAATCAGTTTCCGTCTCACTACAGTTGTTTCGCCCCTCTGACCAGGCCTGTAGTGAACCCAGAGAATTTTTATATCAGCCACAAGATCCTGGTAAACTTTGATTATTGCTTTGTTTTTATTGTCATTCTTTTTAAATTTTTTGTTTATTTTTTCACTCTCTCATTTTGTGTTCTGTAATAATTCTGTACTATAAGGAATATAAATTCTATGTGCATATATGCATGTAATATATATATATATATATATATAATTTGAAATCCTTCAGATGACTATATTCTTTTGTACCAAATACAAATGCTTTCTTGAATAATCATGCCAATGGGAAATTCACAATTTAAAAAATAAGCATGCTGGTTCAAATAAACATTATGCTGCAAATTTTTATATAAGTTTGATATTAATACCAGGGAATGTTTAGAAAAATAACATACCATGCCAAGGAAAATTGAAGGAAATAATTAAATGCTTGCACTTGTATTTTCTATACAAGTGTCTCAATCCAGAAAAGCCAACTCATATTTCAGTGAAAAGTAGCAGTGGAAGGCAGTGTTGGGAAGGAACTTTATACCCAAAATCTTGGAAAGGAACAGTTGTTGTTCCTAGTTGGAAATGAAATACAGTTTTTGCTCCAATTATTTATGAAATAAAAACATTTTAAAAAATCTTTATATTTCATTATCCTTAAATATAATTTTCCAAACGTTAATATTTTATAATAGCACAAAAATACAAGAGTTGTTGTCATGATTTTTTTTAATTTAATCAGTAATATTCTCCAGCAAATATTAGTGTTTAGATGAAAATCTTTTTAGGCAAGACTGTCAATAACTTTTTGCTGATTGTATTATTAATCTTTTTCAACTAATTTTCTTTCAGATCCTGATAGGATAGCAATAAAAAGAAAACGTAAAGCTTCAAATTCAAAATATGACAGCACTACTTCAGGTAAAATTCTCTTGTTCTCCAAACTATTATCATAAAATTATAAGTACATGAACAACAAGTATTCACTATTGCAGTACTATTTAACTTAGGCATTTAGCAATGAAATCCAAGCAGCACATGTGATTTATTTGAGTATTTATGTATTAGAACATTTAAGTTTATCTGTAGCATTTTCTTTCTTGATGTCTTCAGATTTACACATTTCGATATGTTTGTAATATATATATATATAGGTCACTCCAAAAGTAATAGGAGTGGATATTGGACATATGGCAGCTGATAGATGTTGAATCTTCCTGCCAATAACAATGATAATTTTTTTTTTTCACAAAATGGCATGTGACATGAAAGTGCATACAAAACAGATGTTTCATTGAATTTCTCCATGTGAAAAAATGAGACTTCTTTGATATTTCTATTTAAAAACCAAACAGTGGATGTGGACAGCACAAGTTAGAAAGTGGGTTATTTCTGCTGGTGCAAATTTACAAGCATGACATCACTGGAAAAATATCCAGCCAAAGATGGTAACTATGTGGGGGAAAATAATGTTTTGTTGTTGAAATTTTGCTCTATCCAACGGCATTATTGTACTCTCTGTATCTGTTAGTTTTTATGGAAATAAGTCATAGTCATTACTTTATGCATCACCTTATATTTGGGATTTAAGACTAATAGCTAGCTAAAAACACACTTTGTGCTAATCAGAGATCAGAATTTATATAAAGTGTTTTAGATGCTTAACAAATTGTTGATAGGATAAATTTTTTTTTCTTCATTACTATATAATAAAATTTCTAGAGATGTATAGAATTATTACTTTTAGTAATTTATACTCGTTCATTGAATTTTATTTTTCCTTTTTTTTTTTTTTGCCAGAACCCCACACTCTGGACTCAAATGAAATAAAAAACCTTCTTCGATTAAAAACGGTTCGAAAAACAGGTTTGTGGATATATTCTCCGTTAACTTCCCTATTTAATTAGTTTCTCTTTGTTCATCATCACAATCTGATTTTTTTTATTTATTACTATTTCATCTTTCTCTTGCTTCTAACACTGTTTTAACCCTTCTAGTTTTTCACAATAGTTATATAAAATAGAAAGTTTTTAGAAAGGATCTATGAAAAACTGGATATTTATTGTTATTTAAATAGTGATACTAATATTTTTTTTTTAATTAGTTTTTTTTACATATCTTTTATGTTTAGATACAATTTTTGTGAATATGCAAATGAATATTAAAATGTTAACAAAATAAACCACAGTTAATTAAATCACTGGTTTTTGATTATATTCTTAATCCATTGGATAATCAGGAGGTTTAGCTGAATCTTTCCTAGGGCCACAATTAAAACTTACAATTTGAACAATATTTTCTGTTGGACTTTATTCAGCTGTTTAAAGTTCCCATAAAAACATTAACATATTCAATGTAGCCAATGTCATATCCCTTGACCAATAATAATTATTAAATTTATTTCATAATTGTTTTATAATCATTTTAAAATTGTTTTGTAGAAGCTGCTGGTTGCTCCTTTAATGAAAATACTGTGAAGCCTGAAGTTCCTGCTTCAATACCTATTTGTAGTTATCATAATGAAGATGGATTATCTATTAGAGCAGAAGCCACTCATGTTCCAGCACCACCCCCAGATAGTTACCCATTCTATGATGATTTGTTAACTTCATACAACCCCGTCCTTAACAGTGAAGGTGATTTTTTGTCTTGTGTCTTGTCAGAAACATCAGAACTTGGAGAGATGACTGCTGAAAGTCTGCAACACTGTTTGGCCAGTTTCTCAACATTTCTACCAGAAAATTAGAAAATGTCACTTGTCTGCCTTTCAGTTCATTTATTTTTTTTCAAAATCGCTCTTGAACTAAAATAGGCCTTTCCTTTCATTTTTTTTTTTTTTAACTAGAATATTTTCTTTCCATGAGTAATCATTACATCATTTCTGTTATGAACTTATTGATGCATACTATTTAATTCTTCCAAACAAGCTTGAATTTCTTTTATTAAATTACAGCTAATACCGATATTTCATATTTTGACAACATAAAAAAAATACATGCATATACACTAGAAAGTTACTGTTTTTATACAAGAATATGCTGATCATATATCAAAATTATCTTCAATTTGTTTTGAGTTTTTCTTCTATTTCTCCATTTATTCTTTCAGTTCTCTTGCATATTTTCCATTTTTAATTTTTACACACACAAATGCCTTTTTCTTTTTTTCATATTTCAACTTTAATCTTATTTTTTTAATTACCCCCACCACCACACTTTTTTCTCTTCTTTTTTTTTTTTTTTTTTTTTTTTTAACAACATAAAATACATTATATACTTTGAACTTTTTGCTTAACTATTGTTGATCAATGATCATTCCAGACTGTTTTCACTTTGAATTTTATATTTGAGAATTATTGTTCTGATAATGGTAATTTGGCTATATTCATATTTATTTTAAGAATGTTCCATGCATGTTAAAAACTTATAGTTTCAATATATATAGTAATTTGATCATATAAACAAATTAACATTTTAACAATTAAATTTTAAATAATTTTAACTGATTTTTAAACAGCTTTCATTTTTGGGAGATTAGTGAATAACTAGAAAATGTATGCATTATTTACTGATGAATTTTTTAAAATATTATGCTTTTAAGAAAGTTAAATTTAAAGTATAACAAATTTCCCAGCAGCAACTATCCATGTTACTCCTGATTTATGTGATATTCTCTTCTGAGCAGAGCAATTAAACATAGCATCAAAAAAGTTAATTGTTAATAGTTGTTAAATCTTTTTGGTTCAATTTGCATAAAACTCTATTCTGAAGAGAGTTTAGCTAATTCCTAACATCACTAAAGGTAATGAAAGTAAGGAAAGACCTTTAAAGATGTCATTGTCATCTCCAAAACTGAAAATAGTGATAAATTTTCTTATTCTAGAAACAGAATATAGAATCAAGTCAATTTAAAATGAGACTTTATAGGAATTATTGAATCTGGATTTTACAAATGTATCATCATTACGCCAAGTCCTTGTTCAGATAGAACAGATAGATATATTAGAGAGTTTTCAGTGTCTGGGTTGTTTCTCATAATTTCAGATTATCCTTATTATATATAATTTAGTTTGTTTTTTTGGGTTTTTTTGTTGTTTTTTTTTTTTTTTTTGTTGTTGTTTTTTAATTTTTTTTTTTTTTCTGAAATAGTGAAGCAATTTTGTGCTTACCAGTGTTTTTTTTATCCATAATACCTTGCTGAATTTCTCCATTGTCAATGATTACGAAGTTTTATAGGAAATACATTTTATCCAGAACAAGCTCTCAAACTTACTAAAATACTTTTTATTATTTAGAATACAGTTGGTCTGAACAAAAAATAACTTATATCAATCATTTATAAATACTTTCATTTTGAAGCATTTTGTATAAGTTAGCATCTGACTATTCCATCAATACATTTTTAAAACAAAGCTTAACAATTCAATAAATCATTCATCTAGTCAATTCGCCCATTACTCAATGAAACAAAAACATTGCATGACACTAAGAATCTTAAACCTATTACCAATATTGGCATTTACCAGAATTTAAAAATAATCTCAGTTTAGATTCTTATGTCAAGCTTTAATATATATTTTCATGAAAATAAAAATACTTAATTTCTTTAAATTTCTTTTGTATATAAACCACACTAAAGGTTTCTGATTACATAGTTATTTTTAACAATGCCTATAGTAGTGACAGTAAAAGTAAAGCAATTTCAAGATTTTGTGCTTTTTGTTGTTTGCTTTTTGTTTGTTAACAGAAAACTCAGCTTCATTTAGCTTTGTTCTTGTATTTGAAAAACTTGTTATATTTGCATAACTATTATAGTTTTAAAGGAAATGTCATTACAAAGTGAAAAGTATCAACTTCTATAATTCAAAATTGTTAGATATAAAAAAGCAAAAGTTCAAGATCAAAAGCATAGGAAAATAAACAAGTGTAAAAATTTAAAGTGTCTTTTTAAAAATCAAACTTAAAATTTCTTGAACTTTTGTCTGTATAAAATGATATTTGCATCTTTATTTAAAATTTTTCATTAATGACAAAAATACATTTAAAAAAAGAACAAAACTTGATAAATTGAAATTTTTCTTGTGTAAGATCAATTTGTTGATTAATACAACCCAAACTGCATATGATTAATAATCCTACACTCCAAATGTTATTTTTGGGGTTTCTTTACTTAAGTTTTATTTTTAAGTGAACAGTGATAAATACTTTTAAGGAAATCCTTAATTTGATTGTTAAATTCATACCATTGGTTATCTTTGGGTTTTGTAAACTGTGATTAATGGGTATCTTAATAGAATCCCAACTATAAACCTTTGAGTTACATGTTTCGGTAAAGGAAAAAACTTAATGAATTGGGTTTGCTGCATAGCACATCTCATGGTACATGATGTTGCTTTGTCTTATAACTCTCATCTATAAGAGTACTGACCTATACTTAGCTTTAAAAATAATTATTTTAGTTAAAAACAAAGAATATTGACACAGTTTTCTAAATTTACTAGAAAAAATGTCTTTTTTAAATTTTATTCTACACACATCATTTCTTACTTTTTATGAAACTTTAGTTGTTGCTCTTTTTGCTATAAGTCTTATATATTTTTAAGTGAAAATGTGATATATCCATTTGTATTTGATTGATCAAAAGGTTTATTTTGTTCTTGTCCCTAGTTTTAAGATTCTTTAATTCCAATGAACTGAGAAAAAAGTTACTTTTAATTATATTTTGGTAGCTGACCCATTATGCATTTAAAAAATGTGTATTTTGTTTACTGATGTCAGAAAATAACCATTATTTTCTCATGTTTTATTTTAAAAAAGATAAAAATGTGACTTGAACACAAAACCAATTTATGCAGTTTATAGAGAATGTACTGTGAAGTATCAAATGTATGGAAAGTTGTTGGCAAAGTTTTGTACTGCAGATTGCTTGCTGAAAGATGATCCACTCTTATGTAGATCAGTTGAGATTGATAACAATAAAATAAAAGCAATACTTGAGAATAATCAATACAGAGGGCAGTTCTTTGCTGAGAAATATAAGTTCAAAGAGGACCCGAAAGCTAGTAGAAAATAATGGACCAAGACAGTAAATATGCTGTTCAGAAAAGTTCATGCCAAAAATAAAAATACACAGTTGGCCAATGTCAATGCAATATTTAAAAAATTGGATTTTTTTTCTTAGTTGTCTGTGACATTTTGTAAAAGCAATTATGCTAGATAAATATTTTTCTTTCATGGATTTCAAATTTGATGCAATTTTTAAAACTTGTAACATGTTAATCACAGCTTATATTGAATGCCCTCAAATTAATTAATTTTTATATTTTGATACATTTTTATGCTAAAGTTACTCTGACAATATATTTTCCTAAAATATAATGGTTCCTTTACTTTTTTTAATCTTGGAAAGGCAGAATTACCCTGCTTTACACAGAATTGTATAAAGATTGATATTGACTTTAAATAAAAAGAAATGTCTAAATATAAAAACAGCAGATTGAAACTTGGTTTAATGTTTTTATGATTGGAAAGAAAGCAGTCATTCTTTGAAATAATAAAACTAAAATATATAGTTCTATGAAATACATTCAAATATTGAGTCATTCTAGATTTATCTGTGGTATTTGTAGAACAGATGACTTGGAATGATATGTTACATACAAATTATCTTTTTTCAGTTGAAGGCTGTGCCATAAAATGTATTATGATGGGTACAGAAAAGGTTTTGGCCCAAACAAAGAAAACTTTTCTAAAAAGAAAAATTCTGGTATTTGGTCACATTTTGGAAAGTATGTTTCAGTACTCTCTCATACAATCAGTTAATCATTTTTGAGAATGTTGCAATATTTTATGCAGTGTTATTTCTCTTGAATTATGTGAAATGCCTTCACATCACACTAGAAAACTGTGACTAAATTATGAATGTTAACTATTGACTTATCAAGAGTATTGTTCAACTTGCAATCCACTTACTGATGTCGCTGAAAATGTTAACTAATTGTAGTACTTTTTTACTTTTATTGTTTTTTTTTTTTTTTTGTTTTTTTTTTAAATAAAATTCTTGTATTAACAATGCATTAAAATCAGATCACTGGTGCTATTTTTGTAAGTTTTAATAAATGTAGAGCCTAGTTGGGACAGTAACTTCCAAATGTAGTAGCTCTCTGCCAATCAGCTGGTCTATATTTAAACTCAAACTGATGTATTTGAACAAAATATGATGTTCTGACCTATTCTCATGATTGGCAGTAATAAGCTACAATTTTTTTACTAAATCTAACTTTGTGGTTCTCTTGTTATTCTCAAAGTAATTGTTAACCTTGATTTATTATCTAAACTGTTTTTAAGATATATTGCTTTTGGGAAGCGACTTCTTTTGATTACTTATGTAATCAGTTATTACTAGCAAAACATATTCATTGTATGGTGATAAACTATTAGGTGATAAATATGTTTTACTTTCTCTAAATACATATTTCTTTTTCTGAAACATCTGAAATAATTTTTGCTTCAATGATTCATGTAATTCTATATTATGTTTGTGCATTTATTGCAATTTTGAAATCAGCACTAAACTTTTCAAGAAAAAGTGTAGAATATAAGAAGAGATGGCAAAAGTTTTAAAAAGGAACTAGAAT